TCCAGCCTGGGTAACAAGAACGAAACTCCGTCTCAAAAAAAAAAAAAAAAAAAAAAAAAAAAAATTAGTCTTCTTTGTGTCCAATGCAGAGTGAACAAAGCATCCTGAAGAGAAAAGGAACTAGTGACATCATCACAGGGCTCACTACCCTCTTGAATGAATTCTTGTATCATACGTACCTTACCTGGGTTGAATTTAAAATACTTGGCTTAATTTCTTATCAGGATTCCCCAGTCAGACCCAGATCCCCTTAACCTCCACATAAATCATAAGTCTATCCCATTTGACTTGGGACTGATCAGCATGCTGACTGGGTTAACAGCTCAGCTGTCTCCCTTTTTCTTCAAATGGGGCTTCACTGAGCTTCGGTTGAAGTTCAGTTGTAAAGAAAGCAACTTGAATTTCCCTAGGGAAGGTGTGTTTGGGTGTGTGTGTCCTTTATTTAAATAAAGCATTTCATTTCTAAATGAATTCCTGGCATGTCAGTCTTGATAGTGTTTCTTAGGAGTCACTTGACTAATTTTGGCAGCCCATCTGGAAATGTGGTTTTGTTAGAAGGAGGATGTGTGATAATAGCAAGTGTGATAATAACAAGAGTTAGCAGTCTTGTGTGTTAATAGTTTGCCTTTGAATTTAGAGCTAGAAAACAAGATGCTGATTGCAATAATTTGCGTTTGTAAAGCAATTTACTGCAGTCTTTGCACATGTTCGATGATACACATTAAATGCATTTTGCCTGTTTTAGGGGGTGGACAACATATTTACCCTTCAAAAATGGTTTAGCAGTCATTATATTGAAAAGTGGAAACTTTAATTGTAATGATCTGTTCTTCCATATTTCCTTTCTGTGCAAGTGTTTGTGTCATGTGCACAGCACTGTCTCTGTGCCTTCAACCCTGAGTCCTGCCAAGACTCAGACCCAGCCTCCTGGTTAGGAAAAGTCTGTGCATTGGTTATTGTGCTGCCACCGTGGTGTGCCTGCAAGTGTAATGCACTCGCAAACTTCAGTTACCTGATTAGAAAATGTCCTCGTTCCCTAGTGATAGTTGTAGAATAGAGTCCTGTGATTCTCAAGATGAAATGATTTGGGGTTGGTGTTATGTATACTATCCCAATGAATGGATTTTGGTCATTTCACTGAATTTAGGCCTGAGTTTAATATGTGCCTGTCAGACCTTCAGAGGTCAGACCTGGTGGGAAAGGATCACTGACTGGTTAGTGGTGATGCTTTTCCTCCCAGGTGTTGATCAGCATTCATTCCAGGCCCCTGGGCCCTCCTCTTTCAACAGATTGCACCCTTACCATTGATTTATGGTTCTAGGGGTTGTGAGTTCCTTTTGATATGTGACCTTATGGGTACAGAATGGCCATTTTGCTTGGGTTGGTAGTGTCTGTCCCTTCCGTGCTGTTACTAGCATGGCTTTGCGCTCTAGGTTCTCTCTCAGGTCATCAGCTTGGTAGTAACCGCCATGTAGCACTTTGGAGAAGAGGGCAAGGATTAGGGAGAGGAGTGAGGATGAGGCTGCCAGGCAGTTTGTGTAGTTAGGATTGTCAGACTAGAGAGCTGTTAGAAATCAAGGAGAGGGTTACTGTTGGGCTTATCTTTGGGATAAGAGATTGGGCCATGATTCCACATCTCTGATTTTTTGACCGGTGGCTTCCTCTGACACCTACCAAACTCTGAGAATGAGGTTCCAGGCCCAACTGTAACTAAATCAATGAATGTTGTCTGTGACTAGCTGGAGCTTTAGCCACAGATCCCCGTGTAGACACCTTCAGCATAGATGAGATACGGGCCTGAAGGGGCTCTTTTTTGCACTACACTGTGTTCTTCCTGGGCCCTGCAGAGAGGATGGGTTCCTAACCTGTAGCAGGAAACCAGCTCCAGAGCTCTAGCAATCCATTCCTGAGAGAAAGGTCAAAGACAGAAGCCACCTCAAAACATTTCACACATGAGCAGGGCTAACCTTGGTTCATCTTACTAGTAGACCTGCCACTTGCCAGCTCCTTAGTGAGTCCTGCCCTTCATCAGAATTCCTCCTCCCTGGGGGTGGAAAGATTGGCACTCACTCTTGGGTCTGAAGCATGCTCACACAGTGTGCAGCTGCCCTGAGTTTTTAGATTCACATTTGGCTGTGGCACTCACTGCCTGCCTCCAACAATGGTTGCGCCACTGTGGGTAGCAGTGTATTGTCGCCCAGTGCCCTGAAGACTGCTCAGCTCACATGCTTGCTTTCTACCAGCCAGCTCTGTGATGTGGGCAGTTTCCTTATTTGTCTGGGCTTCAGTTCTCATATCTTCAAAGAGGGAGCAATAGACTATGTTTTGGGATATTTAAAGTGTTTAGCGTAATGCCTAATGTTAACTTTGATTTTAGCTTTTGTTATTGCTAGTATTTCATTCAGTCAGTTAGATCTTATGTACTGATAAGGCCCAGGGGTCATATTCCAGTTCTTATCTCCTTGCTCAGTTTCCCTGCACTTTAACTGTTGATTGGAAGGGCAGCAGGCCAAGTAGGAGTGGGGGCTCATCGCCACGATGTCATCACTGATGCCCCAGTCAGTACTCAGTCCACACTTGGCTGACTAGAGCATGCCTCCTGAGGAGAAGTAAGGCCAGAGCATTTTCACAGAGTGGAAGGAATTCCTGGTCCTAGTGTGTCTGACTTTCTACCAGATAACATAAGTTTTGATGCCAGAAAGCAACTTTGAGCCCTACTGAGAGAAAGAGGACACCAGGAAGAAACATTAGAAGAGCAAGATTAGAGAAACAAGACTTGACCTCTGCCCTTGAGCAGGGCTGCCATACTGCAGCTAGGTAACCTCCTTACCACCTCCACGACCATGTGTGGCAGCCCTGACTCTCAGAGGACTGCAAGTACACAGCACTGTATTCCTTGACATCTTTTTTCAAACTGTGTCCTTCCCCGTTGCCTATCTGGTGAGCATTGTATGTCTTTTAAGACTGTTTAAAAGGCATCTCTTCTGTGAAGTCTTTCTTAATTCCTCTACTCCTGGTAGAATCGATTCCTTCCTCTGCTATGCTAAGCAGATTTTATCATTGCCCATTTAATTGTATGTATTTGTTAATTTTCCTTCTCTTAGACTGGATTCATTGAGGGCAGGAACTAAGACATATGTGCATCTTTGTACCTCCAACAAGTACCACAGTGCCTGTATATGGTAGGTGGGTACTCTCTTTGGTGTTTGCATTAAGTGAGTGAGCGAGGGGCTCTCGGAAACTGTAAGCAAGGACTAAAGGGTTCTGGGATCTCATAGTATAGCTGCTGTGTGCTTGGCACTGGGCTCCCTTTGTGGGCAGGACCCAGCTGCCTAGTGTGTCGTAGTTGGATGTGGACATCCACTGCTTCACTGCACACTTAGGCTCCTTCTGCATACACTCATTTATTGGGTATATAGTAAGGGCTTTAACTCATGGGTCCAAGAGTGCTCATCCTGCAAAGGACATTTTTAAAGGTGAATGTTTAAAGTGTAGTTCTTTCTTGGACAGATGTTTTATGAAATATGTATTGTGCATATTTTCTTAAATCCATTCAGATGAAGTTTTTATATAATTTAAATTTTTCTGTTTTTTTTTTTTTTTTTTTTTTTTTAATGAAGGAGTCCTTTCTCCAAAGTTACTAGACAAGAAGAAGGTTCCCTTTCATTCAACTGAAAGAATGGTCTTCATCAACATTGAGCAGCAGAGGGCACTGTAGTTCAGGAGATGAAGCAGCAAAAGTAGCTCATTAATGTATTTATTTTGTAAACATGGAAATAATGGAGATTTTATATAGCTGCTCTGTGACGACATATAGCAACTGTGTTAACAAGTGCTAATGATAGTCTTTTAAATTTTTATCTTGTCTGAGGTGAAACGAAAGTTAAAGTATTCATGGAAAAAAGTCAAGTGAAAATAGGTTAACATTGACTAAAGACCTTTCTGGGAGCGCTTCCAATCCAGAACTGGTTTTTAAAGACCACAATAAATGACTGGAAATGTAAGGCCATAGATTGAAGGAGGATTTTTTTTTTTTAAGGTCATAGAGCAAATCAGACATCTTGTGCTTTTCTTTTAAGCCTATATGTGACTAGGCAACTGGGGAATGACGGGATTTTTTGTTCGATGATGGCTGTGAAACACCTAGATTGGATGTTTATGTTTCCCAGGTATGGGGATGAGAATTTTTTGTAGTTTTATGTCCTAATACATTTTTCTTGGTATGTGACTAGGTTTATTGCTAGAATCCTCACCAAAAAACGGTTTCTGTGGCATAGAATGATTGAAAGCTTGAAACCCAGGAGCTCTAGACTACAGGATGTGGTTAGAAGAAAAGAAGGAAACACGAGACTTGCATAACTCAGAGGCTGTATCAGCCTATTAAGTTTGCCAAATGCTAGTGGGAGAGTTTTTGTTACTTTTCTTGCCCCTTTTTCATGCTTTTTAAAACTTGAAAAAACTGTTAGATTGAGATATATTCATATAAAATTCAAACATTTAAAGTGTGCAATTCAGAGATTTTAGTACATTAAGAGAGTTGTGCGACACAATCACATTTAGAACATTTTTATCATCTCAGAAAGAAACTTTGTAAGATTATTCATTCCCCATCCTCCTGCCCAGCTTAGATGACCACTAATCTATTTTGTCTCTATGGATTCGTCTATTATGGACATTTTATATCAGTGGAATCATATAATACACCGTGTGGTCTTTTTGTGATTGGCTTCTTTCACTTAACATGATTTCAGGGTTCATCTATGTTGTAGCCTATATCAGTACTTCATTCCATTGTTTGAATATACCACATTGTGTTTATATCTTCATCAGCTGATGGACACTTAGATTGTTTTCCACTTTGGAGCTATTGTGAATAATGCTGCCATGAACATTCATCTACAAGTTTTTGAGTGGACATATAGTTTCACTTATCTTGGGTCTAAAACCTGGGTGTGTAATTGTTGGGTCATAGGCTGTTTAACATTTTCAGGTACTACTAAATTGTTTTCTAGAGGGGCTGTGCCATTTTACATTCACACCAGCAATGTGTAAGTGTTCCAGTTTCTCCAGACTTCTGTAACACTATTTGTCTCTTTGAGTCTAGCCATCCAGGTGGATATGAAGTGGTAGCTCATTATGATTTTTGACTTACATTGCCCTAATGACTGTTGTTGTTGAACATCTCTTCATGTGCTTATTAGCCATTTATATATCTTCTTTGAAGAAATGTTAATGAAGAGTGTTTTGCGCATTTTTTATGTGGTTGTCTCTTTATTACTGAGTTGTAAGAGTTCTTTTTGTAATCTGGATACAAGTACCTTAATATTAATAGATATATTATTTAAAAATATTTTTTCCCATTCTGTAGATTGTCTTCTAAACTTTCTTTCTTTTTGTTTTTTTGAGACGGAGTCTCATTCTGTTGCCCAGGCTGGAGAGCAGTGGTGCAATCTTGGCTCACTGCTACCTCTGCCTCCCAGGTTCTAGCAATTCTCCCACCTCAGCCTCCCGAGTAACTGGGACTACAGGTGCGTGTGCCATCATGCCCAGCTAAGTTCTGTATTTTTAGTAGAGGCGGGGTTTTACCATTTTGGCCAAACTGGTCTCAAACTCCTGACCTCAGGTAATCCGCCCATCTCGGCCTCCCAAAGTGCTAGGATTTGTACAGGCATGAGCCACTGCTCCCTTTCTTGATGATAACATTTGTAGCACAAAGTTTTTAATATTGATGAAATCTAGTTTCTCTATTTTTTTTCTCTGAACCTTTTAGGTTTGGGTTCATATCTAAGAAGTCATTTCCATGAAGTTTTACTCCTGCGTTTTCTTGTAAGAGTTTATAATTTTAGCTCTTACATTTAAGTCTCTGCTCCATTTTGACTTAATTTCTGTATATGTTGTGAGATAGGGGTCCAAATTCATTCTTTTGTTATGTGGTTTTTCAGTTCTCTTAGCACCACTGTTGAGTAGACTGTTCTTTTGCCATTTAATTGGCTTGGCACCCTTGTTAAAAATCAATTCACCGTGAATTTAAGGCTTTATTTCTGGACATTCCATTCTTTTCCATTGATCTACATGTCTGTCCTTATGTCAGTACAACAGTGTCTTCATTACTGTAACTTTCTAGTAACTTTTGAAATCAGAAGGTGTGAGTCCTGCAAATGTATACTTCTTTTTCAGGATTGTTTTAATGATTCTGGGTTCCTCAAATTTCCATAAAATTTTATGATCAACTTGTCAGTCTCTACAGTGAAACCACCTGTAGTTTTAGTAGGTATTGCATTGAATCTGTGGATTAATTTGAGGAGTATAGTCCTCTTAGCAATATTAAGTCTTCCATGTCATGAACTTGGGATCTGCTTCTATTTACTTAGATCTTCAATTTTTTTTTCCAGTGGTGGTTTGTAGTTTTTGTTGTGTAAGTCTTACACTTATTTTGTTAAATTTATTCCCAATTATTTTATTCTTTTTTATGCTATTGTAAGTGTAATTGGTTTTCTAAATTTCATATTTGGATTGTTCATTGCTAGTGTATAGAAATACAGTTGATTTTTGTCTGTTGATCTTGTATCCTGCAAACTTATTAGAAATTATTAGTTCTAATATCTTTTTAGTGAATACTTTAGTATTTTCTGTATATGACAGCATACCATCTGCAGCTTCTACCTCTGCAATCTGAATGCCCTTTATTTTCTTGTTTACTTATCTTGGCTAGAACCTTTAGTACAGTGTTGAGTTGGAGTGGTAAAAGTAGACATCCTTGTCTTATTTATCTTAGAGGGAAACTTTCAGCCTTTCACCATTAAGTAGGATGTTGGCTGTTGTGAATCCTTTTTATTTCATTTTCTTGTTTACTTACCTTGGCTAGAACCTCTAGTACAATGTTGAGTTGGAGTGGTGATAGTAGACGTCCTTGTTTCTCTTAGTGGGGAAACTTTCAGTCTTTCACCATTTAAGTAGCATGTTATCTGTGGGTCTTTTGTAGATGCCCTTTATCAGGTTGAGAAAGTTCCCCAGTGTTCCAAATCTGTTATTTTTGTTATGAAAAAGTGTCAGATTTTGTCAAGTCTTTTCTTCCTCTATTGAGATGATTATGTTAGTTTTGTCATTTAGTCTATTGAATGGTGTATTATATTGATTTATTTTCAGATGTTAAACCAATCCTGTATTCCTGGAATTTTTCTATCTATATTCAGAAGGGATATTGGTCTGTAGTTTTCTGTCGATGTCTTTGTCTGGCTTTGGTATGAGGGTAATACTGGCCTCATAAAATTAGTTGGGAAGTGTTCTTTTCTGTTTTTGGAAGATATTTTGGAGGATTGGTATTAATTTTTAGTACTTACCAGGATGTCATTTGGACCTGAGCCTGCCTTTTGTTTGTTTGTTTATGTTTTTGAGATGGGGTTTCGCTCTTGTTGCCCAGGCTACAGTACAATGGTGCAATCTAAGCTCACTGCAACTTAACGTCTCCCGGGTTCAAGTGATTCTTCTGCCTCAGCCTCCCATATAGCTGGGATTACAGGCATGCACCCCCATACTTGGCTAATATTTGTTTTTTTTTTTTTTTTAGTAGAGATGGGGTTTTGCCATGTTGGTCAGGCTGGTCTCGAACTCCTGATCTCAGATGATCCACCTACCTTGGCCTCCCAAAGTGCTGGGACGGGCATGATCCACCATGCCTGGCCTGGACCTGAGCTTTTCTTTGTGGGAGGTTTTAAAATTATTAACTCAGTCCTTTAACTTGTTATGAGTATGCTCAGATTTTCTTTCTTCTTAAGTCAGATTTGGTAGTTTATGTCATTTTAAGAATGTGTTCATTTCATGTAAGTTAGCTAATTTTTTTGGCATACAGTTGTTCATGGAATTATTTTATAATTCTTTTTCTTTCTGTAAGCTTTTTGATGATGTCTCCTCTTTTCTTGATTTTAGTAATTTTTCTTTTTTTCATAGTCTAGCAAAGGTTTGCCAATTTTGTTTAACTTACCAATTTTTAAAATTGCTTAAACAATAATCATTTATTTGGCTTTCCTTTTAGGGTTGATTTCTTTATTCCAGGAGTCTCTGTGGTTGGTGGGTTTTCAATATGCTCCAGTCCCAGACTGCTAGAACAAGAGAGAATGATAGAATTGGCAGTGAAATATACGAACCACCCGCCTGCCCTCTGGGTTCACAATAAGGTAAGCAAACTGCCTGTTTAAAATCGATGATCTGGGAAATCTCTGGCACCCACAAAATTTGTGTTAAGGTCATTTGATTCACCTAAGAAACTGGGCTTGAGTAAAAGGATACATGCCCACAAAGAGCATCTAAGAAAGATCAAAGAAACTGAGGCATTAAGTATGAGTCAGAGACTTTGGAACCTGGAAATATTTTCTGGGTCACCAAACAGTATTCAGTTGAATACTGCTTTAGAATTAAAATATTTTATATTTTATGCAAGTTATAAAAAATTGGCTCTCTGTGTCATGTAAATGGTAAATCTATAAATCAGATTATTTTGTCCTAACCGTCCTAAATAAAGAGAATTAAATTATTATTCTGTCATTTGGAGGGGAGACTGTCTGATTACATAGTACTGCTTCTTCCCAGAGATGAGCACAGCTAAATCCACGGTGCCATTGCCTCTCCATTTCGGTCTCTGGAAAGCTCTTCACTTGGGATTCTGAGAGAGAATCCAATTTAACTGCTGTTAATAACTCATACTTTACCACAGGGCTTAACACAATCCTACAGAAGCTGCCTGTCATTACCTACTAGAACTCTGGTAACAAAGAATGCGCTCAGAACAGATCAGTTACATGTTGTCTTAGTTTTTGACCCTTCTATCCTTTTCACTTTTTGCCTTTTCTATCCTTCTGCTTTTCCTTTTGCTTCCACTTCATTACTAGAGTGTCTTCTATATTTACCAACGACCTCTATCCCATCCCAGGCATTTTCTTACTTTCTTTACCAAAAGCACATATCAGTACAAATATGGCTTCAAAAGCAGCATTTTATTGTTTCCTGGAAATCATTGGGAATCAACAAAGGAAAAAGAAAACAAAAACTCTATTTTCAGCAAAACTTGGAAACACACTCTAGTATATTTTTAAAGGTTGCAGAAAATTACTGTGTTTCTGTAGGAGCCACATGGAAATAAGTAGAGGAGAGAGGCCAAGAGTAGCAAATCTCATAGAGCACCAACAAAAATACATGAGGGAGTGAGGTGGAACTTACAGCTATTGCCTGCAAAAGGGGGTATGGAAACACAGTTGAGTTTTGTGCCTGCAGAAGTCCCACCTGGACGCAGCAAGGTTCAGTTAGGAGAGAAGGCACACGAAAAATGACACAGACAAACCATGTTTGTAGGAACTAAATATGTTCTGTAGTGGCTGAAGGGAACTTTTATGTTGGAAAAACCAGCTAGCTTAGAGGATACTCTCTGGCCCGTCCCCCAGTATAGAACCCTCTTACAAATAGTTGGTCCAAAAAAAAAGCACAGTTCATTTTAGTCTCATGAAAGAAATCAGAGAAGACATAAGTAAATAGAGAGATGTACTGTGTTCATAGATTGGAAAACTCAACGTAGTACAGAAGTCAGTTCTCCTTAAATTGATATGTAGATGTAACATAACACTAATCAAAATCTCAACAGGATTTTTTTATAAATATGGACAAAGTGATTTTAAAATTTATATGGAACAAAAAAGGACCTAGGATAGCTAAAACAATTTTGGAAAAGAAGAATAAAGTGAGAAGAATCCCATTAGTCAAATTTAAGATTAAACTACAGCATTCAAAACAGTATGGTATTGGTGAAAGGAGAAACACATCAAATAATATAACAGAATAAAGAGTTCAGAAATAGAATGACACCTATACAGTCATTTTATTTTTGACAGAGTTTCTAGATTCATTGGAAAAGTTGAACGGCGAAAGGATAGCCTTTTCAACAAATAGTTCTGGAACCATTTTGCATCTGTATGCAAAAAACAAAGCCTTCAACCTAAACCTCATACTTTATATTCAGAATTAACTCAAAATGGGTTGTAGATCTAAGTATAAAACATGGTACTGTAAAAGTTCTAGAAGAAAACAGAAGATATTTGGAACTTGAGAGTAGGTAAAAAGTTCTTAAACACAGTGCCACAAGCAAGATCCGTCAGAGAAAAGGTTGATGATAGGAAATGGTCAGAATTAAAACTTCTTCTACAAAAGACATTTAACACAACTGAAAAACAAGCTATAGAGTGGGAGAAAATATTTACAAATAAAATATCTAACACAGGACTTGAATCTAGAATATATAAAGAAATCTCAAGAGTCAGCAAAACACAAGTAACATTTTTTTTTAAATGGGCAAAGGATTGAATAGACACTTCACTAAAAAAGGATATCCTTATTTTCATTGCAAATAAGCAATGAAAAGGTGTTCAAACATCATTAACCCTGAAGGAAATGTAAATTAAAACCCTGTGTGGTGGAATACCACTACAGACCTAGTCCAGTGTCTAAAATTAAAAATATTGACAATATCAAGCGTTGGCAAGGATGTGGGGCAACTGAAACTCTCATATATTGCTTATATTGCTAGTGGGAATGCACAATAGTACGGCCAATCTGGAAAGCATATTAGCAGTTTTGTATAAAGTTAAACATACACTTAGCATATGACCCAGCAATACCACTTCTGAGTGCCTTAGAGAAATGAAGGCTATGCTCACATAAAAGCATAACATGAATATTTGTAGCAGTTCTCATAATTATTAAAAACTGTTAGAAACAACCCAGATGTCCCTCAGCAGATGAATGGATAACCTGTGATAGATTCATACAAGGGACTGCTATTAAAGGGATGAATTATTGATGCACACAGCCTTGTGAGCAAATCTCAGAGGCATTCTGTTGAGTACAAGACGACAGTCCCAAAAGGTTACATACAGTATAATCCCATTTTTTTCACATTCTGGAAGACAGATACAAGATATGAAACAAATCAGTGGTTGACTGGGGTTGGGGTGACTGGAAAGGCAGGAGCATAAAGGGATATAGCACAGGGGAATATTTTCAGGGGGTGATGGAACTAGTCTGTGTTTTGATTTTGATGGTTGATACCCAGATCTATATGTGTGTTAAAATTCATATAACCATATACCAAAAGAAAAAGATGTCTGTTAAGGGAATTTTAAAAATAATTTTTAAAAAATCTGCAGGAGCAACAAAATATATTCTTGTGGTTTACACGTCAAGTTGTGTCTGTCCAGGATAACCCTCAGATGCCTGTGTGGGCATTTCCGTTGTAAATATATGCTGTCACATTTTTACCCTGCAGCCTCCTGAGTCTCTCTTTCAGTGTGGCCTCAGCTGCCCCATTCCTTTTTGGATTCTCTGTGGATTTTCCACTCATTACTGTCTCTAGGCTGCTCCTAGAGGTGCTAAAATACGTTGCTGGGGTGAGATCAACAAGGTGTCCACATGCCTCTTGCTCAGAGTTGAAATAAGCATAGCCATCCCAGCTCCTAGTGCCATGAACATCTCCCCATCTTCCCTATTATCCTTAGCCTCCCATGCGACCTGGCCTGGTCCTGGTCCACAGCATCCTGCTTGGTTTCATGCCTCATTGGCATTTCAGTGAAGGAACTTATTCTTACAGGCTGTAGAAAATCTCAAAGTGGTGTTGCCTGAATGTACATCCTAATTGTAGTGCCTGCTCTAGTCTGCCCAGTGGGAGTTGCAAACAGCCTTTATGAAGTCAGATTTTTCTTGGACCCTATTTTCAGGTGGCTATTTTCCTCCTGAGGATTTGTCTTATTAAGCCATTAGAGTGGACAGTGGAGGCACGTGAATGTCTGGGTGGCAGCAGGCTGCACCATTGAGATATGGAATAAAGTGCCATAAATGTCTTCCTTTTTTAAAAAATCTGCTTTGGCTCAAGCTCTTGGCAGGATAAAGGGTTCTAGACAGCTATTGTGTGCTTAGCTCCAGTTGCTGTGGAAAGGTTGTTTATTTCACAAGTAGAAAATCTATACCAAAATTAGATACATTGCTGTGTAATTGAAGGTAATGTCCTTTTACTTACATATTATAGTGTACAGTACATTGAGTCTTGTGTTCATGTTACCCTGGCAGTTTTTATTGATCAAAAAGACAAAGGTGGCTTTTGATTCTTTCCAGATGCTAGCAAATTGGAAAATAGATCTACTGAAGATTATTTTGTCATTAAGAATAAGACAGGCTTCTTGAGTATTATCTTTCCCTGGGGCACATTTTCTTGCCAACTTTAGAGTTGAAAATACCCCAGTTTCTAAAAACAATAACTTAGAGGCTCTCTTTTGTTGTCATTACTAAGCATGCCAAAGATGGCCATTGGAGAAAATTATTTCAGTCCCTTTCACTCTGATTCTTATAGATAAAGAGAAAACTGCACAGGCAAGCAAGAGAGGGAGGGAAGGAGGATATAAGAGATGAAATTCATTGTCATCATTAGGCAGAGCCTCTTGTATCTTAAATTCTATTTTTGAGACTTGAAAGAATATTTTAAAGCACCTTGGTAGCCACTGTAGCAGTTCCTAGATTTTAGTTATTCCTAACTGAATGCTCCCTTGCTGCTAATTTCTTTTGTCAAAAATGAAAACCCACTTATCACCATTCATGTAAAAATCTTCTGCATATTTAAAATAGGTAGGTTCAGACATTTTTTTCCCCTGAGAGAAAGGGTATCCATTCATTTAACAGTTCTTTACCAAAAAGGACATGTTTTGTGAATTCAAATAATTTTCATTTTTCTTAGATATTCTCTAAGTTTAACTCATCTTTAAATTGTAGAGCCCATATTAAATTCATGTCCAAAAAGCACTTACTGCTCACCTGCCATGCAAGGTGCCATGGTGTGAATGCTAAGGGTTTGGTTCTCAAAAGCATGCGATATGTTATTACTTCTTCGGAGGGCATTCATTTATTTGATTTATGCTGGGAACATGTAATGGGAGAAACCTATGCTCTTAATATAAATTTCTTAATTCCTGGAGTCTGTTTTTTAGTGACAGGGAAGAAGGAAGCTGCCATCGCCAGCACTTTTTCTTTTGTGACAGCTGCAATGACGAAAATACCTTCTTATATAGAGCCAGATACTAGTGAGCTTCTCCCCATGTGAGTCAGTTGATGTTCACACCAACCCTGTGAGGTGGGCAGTGCAAGTGCTGGTACCCATTTTCTAGGGGTGGCAGCCGAGGCTCAGAGAATTTAAAGGATTTACTGGATTTCATAGGGGCCATGATTAAAATTCAGTCTTTTTACTCCTAGATCAGTGTTCCCCCCCCCAACCAAGGGGTTACCAACTCTGTCAGATCCAATGCCCCTTTCTAGAACTATCCTGAAATTAAAAAAAAAAAAGTCCTAGTTAATGTAATGTACCCATAGATTTTTTTTTAAATAACATAATTCTCTAACTGTAATACAAAGGAGAAGAATAAGAAAGTGATTCATAGTCAAAGAATATGTATTTTAACATGTACATGGCTAGGCAGATCTAACTGGAAAACAGAATAAAGTAGTCGGATGGCTGTTCCTGGACATAGGATCACTGTCTACAGATGTAGTGATAAAGGTGTGTTGTGTGGGCGACACATGTCACTGGAATGTGGTTTTCCAGAACAGTGAACATGCTTGGTAAAGTTCTGAACACAACAAAGTGCAATTTACATTGTGACTACTGAGTTTATTTGTAAAAATGAGTTAGGGTCTAGTTTCAGATCATTGTAAATCAGTTTTTACCTGTAAGAATGTCTTTTGGACCATTCGGAAGTCATTGTACAGGGCAGTCGTGTGCATTGTAGATAATGGTGTGCTGACAAACCAGCTATCTAAATTAAAAAAGCCCTGAGTTGTATCATTTGCTGATTTCTATATTGTAAATACTCCCACAATGGCTGATTTCAAACTACCAGTAGAAACTTTCTTACAAAATTCCTGTACATTTGACCACCAGCTTAGTAGGAGCCAATTCTGGGAAACCACTAACTTTGTAGGATCTCTAGCGTCTCTGACCCTGCCCTCTAAATGCCAGTTGGAGTGCCCAAATCATGGTGACGATAAAAAATGTCATCACAAGTTTCCCAAACACCTTCATCAGAAGCAGTAGCACCCCCACTGAGAAACCAGTACATTCAACTCTAATGGCATTGTGGGCATAAGTGACCTCACCAAATGGTAGCCGCTTTATCTAGATAGATGTATGTGATACTCCATAGTCTGAAGCCTCTGGCTGCCTGTTCTTGTTTCTCTAGGGAGAAGGGAACAACACTGAATGGTACTGCAGGGCTGGTCTAAGCCTGTAGAGCTGATCTGGCTGTGTCCTACTGAGGCTCAAGAGGGAGCCCCAGTGCTCACATTTTTCAGCCTTGATGAACCCGGGCAGGCAGTATAGTGACATTTGCCACATCCTGTTTCTCTCAGCTTTGGTCAGAACACAGAAGTACAACTCAGATAAAGGAGACCCATACTTCAGAGCTGTCCCCTGCCTTTGAGTCCATTGCCTCTTTCCTCAATCCAACTCATCACCTTAGAAGTTAACAAATGGTAAAATCAGTGAAGCACATCTCCTTTTCTCAATATTGGAATGGCTGTTCAGTATGGATTACGAAGGTGGATTAGCTTATGGCCTATAAAATGAGCAAGTAGAATCAATTCACAGGGCCTCGGGAAAATTGGGAGCAAGCTATAAAAATAATCCTAGATACTGATAATACAGGAGGTAGATCCAGTTTTATTAAAGTAGAACATTTGGTTTAAGACCTGTGCTACAAAAGGCTAAAGGATCTTTTCTTTCCTGCCTTAGTGTACACTCGACTCTGAAGTGGCTGTGAGAGTGGGTGGAGAGTTCTTCTTTGACCCTCAGCCTGCGGAAGCCTCTAGAAACCTTGTGTTGATTGCAGGAGGAGTCGGAATTAACCCTCTGCTTTCCATCCTGCGGCATGCAGCACATCTCCTCAGAGAGCAGGCAAACAAAGGACATGGATATGAGATAGGATCAATAAAACTATTCTACAGTGCAAAAAATACCAGTGAACTCCTGTTTAAGGTAAAGGAGGAATAGCTTGCTATAAGCAGAGTTGTGTATTAATTGTTCACAGAAGTTTTTTTCTCTAGGTTCTGTTTTCTCTGCAAAGGTTCAAACAAAAGGCTTGGCAAGGTTTAATTATGCTCAAACGAGAACTAACCAACACACCTTACCCAAGACAAGTAAAACTACCAGTTAAGCGACAGCAAAGGGTGGGTTTAGGTGGGATGGAATCTGGAGGTTAGATGAACAGAAAAGTCACAAGGGTCCTGAGATCCCAGTCAGGAGACCTACAGTGGACTGATGTATCACAGGAGTAGGTAAGACTTACACAGTGTGGACCCAGCTGGGTAAATGAAACCCTCAGTTGCATCTGTTTAAACTAAGTGCATTTGATGGAGAAAGCTTTCACTGGGGATTGCTTTGCAGCTGCAGGAATGAACAAAAGAACAGAAACAGTTAAAAGACACAACTGTGGTCAGTGAAACTGCTGCTTAATTGCCAATGCTTGAGAAAAAGGAAAAAGAAAAAACTCCCGGAGAGTTGGTAATATGCTTGTTAGCATATTCAGATTTCAATTAAAGCCAAATAGCCCTCTGTAGTCTGAATGCTCTGGCCTGCTAGGCTGCAGACAATATCTCTCTAAGTAGAGAGCAGGAGTGGCAGACGTGTGCAGAATGGGAGTTGAGGTTCAGCGTCAATGGTTGTGCACATCTGTTTTGATTTTTTTAAAATTGTAGTGTGACCAAATATGTTTGACATTCCAGAAAAATATCCTTGATTTAGTAAATGAATTTCCTGAGAAGATTACATGCAGTTTGCATGTCACAAAACAGACTACACAAATCAGTGCAGAACTCAAGCCGTACATCACAGGTGAGTCCCCTAAAGATATTTTGACTATCTCTGTGCAATTATTTGATGAACACACCAGTTTGTTGAGCATAGATGCCTTATTGTTGGAAGTTGCTGGCTGGGAATGTCACTATCTGGGGAATTGAGATGATTCATCATGGAAAAATAAAGAGACATTTAGTTGGATTTACTCATTATATGCAGGTTTCCTATTGCCTATGTTAAAAGTGTATTTTTCACACTTTTTAAGAGGCCTTTGCATCATTACTATAGTATACCTATGAAGAATTTATATTCCAGATTTGGCTGAATTGATTCCATTTGCCATTAATGGTCATTTAAACAACTCATGATTTCCTCTGAAAGGATTTTTATATAACATTTACTTCCTTCGCTGTAGGCAGTTTTGTCTCTCTATCACAGACAGGTAAGCTAGCTGGCCCTTTCTGCAGAGTGCATTACGATGAGCTTCCCACTTTGCTTGCTTAGGTTTAGGAAGCCTGGAGACACACTCTGCTTAGGTCTGGCCCCAGATGTCAACACGAGCCATCCTGCGAATGGCTTAAGAAGAGCCTCACCGAGCTTGAGTTACAGCAAATAAACACTGTGGCTGAATTGTGGTTAGTCCTTCCTCATCTGCCAGTACAACCATGTCTGGCTTAATTTGGTGTTTATTCTGGTTTTTTTGGTAGAAGGAAGAATAACAGAGAAGGAGATAAGAGATCACATTTCAAAAGAGACTTTGTTCTATATTTGTGGCCCACCTCCAATGACAGACTTTTTCTCCAAGCAACTGGAAAACCACCATGTACCTAAAGAACACATTTACTTTGAGAAGTGGTGGTAGGAGACAGATAAAGACAGAAGACAAAGAGGTGAGATCTCAGATCTCCTGTCCTTTGTGGCATGATTCATTTTTTTTTTTTTTTTTAATCTCTACTTGAGTTGTCTTATTTTTTAAGGCTATAAATGTAGTGACCAGCTGGATAATAATTAAGCCAGCTGACAGACTTAAATGATAAACTTTTTGCAGAGACCTCACTGATAAAGCTATTTTTTACTATACTGATTTTCTTTTATTAACAATGATTTAATTGTCTCATGATATACCATGATTGGTCAATACAGATTTTTCTTTCGTCTTTAGGTAAGAAAGTGATACATACTTACGTTTAATCATAGGAAAATGTGATTTTTGAGTGTAAAATGTGGGCTAGCTTTAAATTATTTGACAGCCATCTATATATCTTATGTTTAATAAAATTATAATTTAAATACATTCTTAATAATTTTACTTTGAAAATTCTTTTTCGTGAATGCCTTTGTTTACTTACCATGGTCTACAGTCTTACTTGAACCATCAATGTTAAGTTTGGACATGGAAATTGTTAGGAAAACTGCTTTAGGGAGTTAAATATCCAGGATATTTGCTTTTTTGTTAATGAATATCCTAAGTGTGTATCCTGGCTAATTGTTAGTTTCTTCTCAAATGAAACCCTTTCTGTCTTGGCTGTCTGCCTTAACGCTGTAGGAGGCAGCTTCTTGCTTGCGACAAAGGCGTTGGTGATGTGTTCCGTGTTGAATCTGCCTTCGGTGCTTGGGCTGGCTGGCTATGGAAGTGTGCTTAGCATTGTTTAGGGGGTAGAGAGCTGTTTCTAAATCTTGGTTTTGTACTTTTTATTTCACTCATTTGTCAGAGTTGTTCTTGGTACCTGCAGGTCCTTAACAAATATTTGTTGAACGATTGAAAGAAACCAACTAATGTTCTAACTCCTTGCTAAGTCTGAGATTGGAAGGCAGTTCCCCAGAGTAGATAGAAAGAATGGTGGAGACTTATCCCAAAGCTGCTCTGATGAAACTGCTAGAAAGCAGATTGTAGTTCTTTGTTTAGAGTTTTAAAAATCTAAAAGAAATCCTGACTGAAGCCAGGCCATTCCTTTTAGGACAAGTAGTCTTGGGCCCAAGGTTGCCTGCATGGAGCCCACAGAAGGGCGAAGGGAGCCTGGGAAGGACAGGGGGGTGCTGGAGACCTAGGAGCTCCAGTTGAGATTCTGTTCTGGAGCTGATGAGAGAAGACTTTCTTAGCTTTGTTGTGGCAGGCCTCCCAGGGACTTCTGGGCTTTAACACATATAATTCATCTGGGCTTTAACACATATGATTCATGGGGCCTGAAGATGACTGTAGCTTCTGCCCAGTTTTGAGTTTTGTCAGGTTTTAAGCAGAGATCATTTGTCAACTATTTTGATCCCACATTTGAAAATTTGGGAAGGAAGGGAGGAGCCATTGACCTGATGGGCGTATCATAATCCATTCAAGGAAATGGTCCTCAGTATCTCAGAGGTGAAGGGAGTATGTGAAGCTCTGGGCCACTACAAGGAGCCCTGACTTACTGATTGGCCCCAAAGTGCCCAGGCTGAGGGCATAGGAGCCTGATGAGATGCAGGGATGCGGGACTGTCAAGGGGCACTTCCACCAACTGGTGGAGGCAGTCTGTGGGGGAGGAGACCTAAAGGTATGGAGAAAGTGCCTAACCCAGGCCTCTCTGCATCAAGAGTGGAGGTGCAAGGTGAGCATCTCAATGCTTCATGGGATGGGAGGATAGGAAGGTGTTGCCCATTGCCTCTGTTCAACCAGCACCATGGCTAACTGCGTGCCTGCTGTTGTCAGACAGCAAGGGTCACCTGTCCTGGAGATCCCAGCTCTGCCTGCCCCCCTGCTGCTGACTCAGTGTCGGCAGATTGCTGAGATGGGCCACTTTGCCTTTGCCTGGAGTGTTCATCCTTTCAGTGCCATCATTCTGGTGCTAAGTGTTGAACAGCACTTTCTGGTCTGGCCAACAATGTCCTGTTGCTCTTGCCTGTGGGATCTGTCCAGATCTTTTTGGTACTTAAATTGAGCTAACTACAGCCAGAGTGGCTTGGAATTCATAGTGTGGTGGCTTAGAGTATGGGCTTGAAAGCTCTTGAGCCAGATGCCTGGGTTCAAATCTCACCTATACTACTTAACTAGGTAGATGACCTTGAGCAAATCACTTAACTGCTCTATGCCTCGTTTAAAATTACTTACAACTACATGTAAAAGGGAGATGATACTGCTACCTACCTATGTACCTACCTGATAGGGCTGTTATGGGGATTGAAGGTGATCATACATGGAAAGTGCTTTGCAGAACACTGCATGAGTGTGTTGTCATTATTAATTTGCTATTCCTTGTCCTATTCAGAAAGGATTTCAAGAGGCTGGATGCCTTAAATGTGGTCCACTAACTTGAAACCTTCATGTGGGTGTGCATCTGTTTTGTTTACTGCTGTGCCAGGCACAAAATAGATACTTCATAAATATTTGTTATATAGGTGAAAGGGCCTGCTCAGGGTTGATGAGCTGGATTAAAGGGACTTCTTAAGGATCCTCTGGTTCTATGAGGTTGAAATAATGTTTCTTCTTTTGACATGAGACCCTTTCATGGCCTACTCAAGAGACTAGGTTAGTCTGATATTTGTATCTTTCTCAAATTTTATTATTTTTTCAAACATATGACAAAAGTAGAGATAGTAAAATGACTTCTCCTGCATCCAGCACCCAGCTTCCATGACTATCAGTATTCTGTTGTTTTTGCCAGCCCTCAGCTGCCTTGTGGTGGTGGTGTTGGTGTGTTTTCAAGCAAAGCCTAGCAATTGTATCGTGTCACCTGTAAATTCTTCAGTATTTATCTCTAACAGCTACATCACCTTAGCACAACCACAATGTCATCATCATACCTAACACAAGTGACAGTGATTACTTAATATCATCTAAGACCCCTTCTATGTTTTGTTTCCTCATAGCCTCAAAAGTCCGAATATTGCATTTGGTTAATGTCTTTTAAGTTTATTTTAATCAATGGCACACTCCCTACACCCGCTATGCATATGTATGGACACTTTCTCCCCCATGATTCATTTGTTAAAGAAACTGACTCATTTGTTCTGTAGGCTTTCCCACATTTTGAACCTGGCCTACTGTATCCTCGGGGTATTGCTTGATTCTCTCTCCTCTCTATTTCATGTAAACTGGCAATTAGATCTAGAACTCGTTTATATTCAGATTCAAGATTTTTTTTGCAAGCCTATATTGTAAAGTGATGTACATCCTACTGTATCATACAAGGCATATAATGTCTGTCCCACTTTTAATGCTGTTAAGATGGATCAGTGGTTTCAGCGTTTGTCAGCCTGATTCATCCAATGTAATGGTCTTCATCAAACTTTCACCTAATTGTTTTAGCAGCCCGTTGATCGTTGCTAATAGCTATTTTTTCATTAAGGATTGATTATCTATTTGTGTTATTCTTCCATATAGAACTTTCCTTCATCAGCTTTGATTCCCTGAAATGAGTCTGTAAAGAAAAGGCAGGATCAATGCTTGATTTCTTTCCTTTTATTTATCATTTAGCAATACTATGAGTTGGTGCCTTAAAGTATCATTCTAAATGCATGGCTTTTTATACATTTTGTTGTTTTCATCCATTGAAGTCATTTTTTTTTTTTTTTTTGATGTTTAGCTGGTTTTAGGTCGCCCCCGCTGTGTCACAGTGGTTCACATTAAGTCATGATGGTTGATGAGGTTTGGAACTCTTAATAGGTGCAAAAAGTGCTCTAATAGAGTGTGGTGTTAAGGAGCCTCATGAATACAGTGTTTCATAGAGGATGGATTGGCTAGCTGTGTCATGCTGCTGTTAGGACAGGAAAGATGAGTTCTGATGAGAGATCATTGAGTAGCCATTGATTTGGCAACTGGATGGTCATTGGTGATCTTTAAGATGTATGGTGGGAGAGAAAACACTGAAGTAGGTTTAGGAGCAATTCAGAAGAAAGAAATTATAATGAATATACGTAATAAAGATTTACTATAAAGAGAAGAAAAAAGATGGAATGGTAGCTGAAAAGTGAAGTAGGGTCAAGAGAACATTTATTGTACTCATGGAGTTGTTTTATTTTTTAAACTTTTGCTTTGAAATAATTTTAGATTTACAGAAGAGTTGCAAAGACAGGGTTCCTCTGTATCCTTCATCCAGCATCCCCAGATGTTTAATGTAACTATGGTATATTTATCAAAACTAGGAAATCAACAGTACAGCTAAGTTGGTACAGTAGTGTTAGCTAAGGCACAGTTTCATTTTTTAATATGAGTGAAATAACAGCCTGATTGTATGAGAAACCAGGAAAGAGTCATTCAGTGGAACTCTGTTAGGGAAGTGACACCTTTTTCTAGAGGATGATGTATTAACTGTCATTTATTGAGCATATACTGTGTGCAGTCACTGAGCTAGACATTGAAGATAGGGAAGCATAAGACACAGGTTATCTTAGGAGCAAGTTAAATACTTTGGGAAACCATTTTTTTTTTTTTTTAATACATTGAGAACATTTCAACAAAATTGAAAGTGAATGCTCAGGGGGAAAATGTTTTTTTGCACCTATCACTGAAAGAGAACTATAGCAAATGGATGACTGGGTGAGTCAAAGTAGTGATGGATCCTAGGGGCCCAGGGGTAGGGGAGTGGGAAAGGCTGCACCCATGCTCTGGAGACTCGGGAGGATTGTTATACTGGACTTACAGCACAAACACATGCATGCATGCAGTGATTGTCAAATGATCTAAGATCATGTCTCTCTTACTGAGAATTTTTGTTTTCTTTCTGAATGGAAAATAGCAGTTTCTTTCATTCCTGGTTATTGCAGATGATCTGATAATTTAACCTGAGAGCTGTTATTATTTCATTTTATTTCATAACCCAAAAGAAGTATATTGTACTCAGAGAAAACAGTGAGATGTCTGGTTTTTAATATTACTCTTTCTTAACATACAATAAGCTATCAATCAGTTTGGTGATGACATGTAGATATCTCCTAACCCGCCATAAAATCAAGGCATGTATTTTAAAATGTTTTGTGCTCAGGAATCCAAACCTTTATAGTTGTTGAGCAGCCATCTTGATCTGGTCTGTTTTGAATTCTTAAAACTTGCAGGAGCTCATCAGCCTAACCTGGCCCATTCCAGCTCATCCCCATATCCCATTTTGCTATATTTGAGCATAACAAAATTTTCTCTCCTCCTTTTTTAAAATTAATTATCTAATAAATATGACCACAGATATTAAAGTATATAGATTAAAATGCTGAAGTTCTCTTCTTCCCATCCTATTCCCTTGCCTTGAAGGAACCTCTGTATAAAGAACTTGCTGGGTATCCTTGTAGACATTTTATGGTATATTAACCTTGTATACATACACAAGTATGTGTACTTGCAGATCTCATTCTTTTACTACACTTCAGATTCTTGGTATATACCATAATGTACTTAACCATTTTTCCATGATGGACATTAGATTGTTCGCAGTTTTTGGCTATTATAAGAAATATAGCAGTAAACTTGTTTGTATAATTTATCTGCACATACTCCTGTAAAAGTACTAGAAGTGCCATATCTGAATAAAAAATCGACTAGTATTGCCAAGTTACTCTGTAAAATGCCGCATCAGTTAATGGTCTAATGGGGTATGAAAGTGCCCATTTCTGGCCAACATTAGATAGTCTTAGTCTTTAAGTATTTTTTTCCCCTAATCAGTTAGATAAAAGGTGATTTTTAAAAAATAATTTTCTGATTGTTTCATAGCATTTTTTTTTCCCTAAGGTATTTTAGCCATCCTCATTTGTTTTTCTGAATGGTATATTACTGTTTTATATCCATTTTGATGTCTTACTGATTGATAACCCTAAAATTGGAAAGATACAGAGATTAGTATGGCCACAGCGCAAGGATGACATGCAAATTCATGAAGTCTTTCATATTAAAAAAAAAAAATAGAATGAGTGTCAATCCTTTGTTATACATATTTTTCCACGCTGTTAGCAGTTCCTTAATTCTGTTTGTTGTACCTTATACCAGAGTTTCAAAGTTATGTGTAATCGTATACGTTGGTCTTTTCCTTTGGATTTTCTTCTGATACTTCTGTAGAGTAAAACTCCAAAAATCCTGTCTGCTTTAGAGACTATAGGAGACCAGAGAGAAGAAACAAAAAATGAGGCAGATTGATTGGCTGTGTGGTGTGGATGGGAGGAACATGGCACCAGACTTCAAGAGACCTAAATCATGCCCATTCTACAAGTTGCTGCCTGTGGGACGCATTCCACCTCTCTGTGTAGCCTGCTTTCCTGATCTGTTGCTGTGGGTAGGACTATGCAATTTAAAATTCCTTTCAGCTTTACCTTTCTATAATTTCATGATAGGAAAATGGGCCTTAGAGATTTAGGTTGACCATACTGAGAGATGTCTAAGAAATATCTTAACTGTCTTTAAATATTTGATTGATTCTTGAAATGATGGTTGTTTGTATCTCTGGGATTGATAGAAGACGATGACATTGTCTTGGACTGAAGCCAAGGGAGAAGTTTGGTTTGATACAGAGGACTTTTGGACTATACTGCTGATTAAATTCTGGAGTTAGGACTCAAGAGAAATAGTGGAATTACCATTAGTAAGAAGTAAACTGACATTTGCTCATTGGGGCTTAAGGTGCACTTGACTGAGACAGGGCCTGGATTGATAGTTCCCCAAGTTCATAAAAAGGAAGTGTTTTAGTTATTAACTTAGCCATTTTATGGATCTAGAAACTGTTAAGTTTGCTAGTTCTTCTTTCTCCTAAGGTGATTCTCTTGTGTTTTTTTCCATTGAAAAATCAGCAAGATAGGAGGTACCCAGGACTGAAGGTTCATGAACTCAGAGGTCCATTACAAGAGGTATTTTAATGCTCACTCTGATATTTCATACCACTTTTTTTTTTTTTTTTTTGAGACGGAGTTTCGCTCTTGTTACCCAGGCTGGAGTGCAATGGCGCGATCTCGGCTCACCGCAACCTCCGCCTCCTGGGTTCAGGCAATTCTCCTGCCTCAGCCTCCTGAGTAGCTGGGATTACAGGCACGCGCCACCATGCCCAGCTAATTTTTCGTATTTTTAGTAGAGACGGGGTTTCACCATGTTGACCAGGATGGTCTCGATCTCTTGACCTCGTGATCCACCCGCCTCGGCCTCCCAAAGTGCTGGGATTACAGGCTTGAGCCACCGCGCCTGGCCCTATTTCGTACCATCTTTAAGCCTTTGTATTATCTATAGGTCACAGAAAAATCCAAATCCAAACTGAACTTAATGACTAGTGAGCAACACAGTTAAATACACAAGTGTAAGTTTTACTGTGTTAAAGGATGAAAAACTTTTCTTTCACCAGTCAGCAACATGGGGTCACGTTTTAAAACGGTCTCTGGATGAATATTTTTACTCTTTCTTCAAGACCCGGTTCCTACAGTTGACAACCAGAGTAATTCTCCACCAATTCTTGGCTCAGCGCTTTACTAGAATTGCCGGCATTACCATAAGGAATCATTAGGGGGCCCAACTCCCACTCTGCCCATCAGACCCAAGACAGTTCCCTTTGTACTCCCACAGGCATACCATGGCACCTCCCTAACAGCTGCTGCTTTCTGTTGCCACACAACTCCCACCCTTCCAAAAAGAAAGATGTAGTTCTTTGGTTTTTTTTTTTCCTCGAGATGGAGTCTAGCTCTTTCACCCAGGCTGGAGTGCAGTGGAATGATCTCTGCTCACTGCAACCTCTGCCTCCCGGGTTCAAGCAATTCTCCTGCCACCAGGCCCAGCTAATTTTTGTATTGTTAGTAGAGACAGGGTTTCACCATTTTGGCCAGGCTCTTATCCTCGTGATCCATCTGCCTCGGCCTCCCAGAGTGCTGGGATTACAGGCGTGAGCCACCGTGCCCGGCCTCTTTGGGTCTTAAGAAAGGTATAAAGAGCTCACTTTTAGTGACTCTGTCTGATGATTGCATCACTCAAGCTCTGAAAACGAATCCATGCAAGAGATTCTAGAAAAGTTCCAGGCTGTAGCACTGGAGTATTTATTACTGAGGAAATGCCTTTGATAAGGACAGGGTTAGTAGCTTCAATACCTCCTTCACTCCCCAGTCATTTGCAAAATCCAGTCAGTTTTGCTCCTAAATAACTGTCAAATCTGTACCTTTCTTTGCTACGATGCAAGCCAGCAGCCCCCATCTGGACTAAAGCATTGGCCTCTGCACCCTCTCTGGGACCCCTACATTTCCTCATTCAGCAGCCAGAAAAATGTTTTTAAAAATGCAAATCTGATGTCATTTCCCTGCTTAAAACTGATCAGTGGCCTCCTATTAACCCTTACAACAAGAACCAGAATCCTTACCATGATTCACGAGGCCCTTCTGCATTGCTGTCTTCTCAGCACCTAGCAAAGTGTGTAGGAATTTAAAAAGATGTAGCTTTTTAACAAATAACTTGGTCCCCCCATGCCCACATGAATGCATACGTCTCTCCTGTGGCCTGGCTTCCTTTGCTAGAGGGAAATGCAATGGTTTTGCAAGGGCTGGGGAAGCAAGCATGAGCCAGGTTCAGAGAGCCAGTTGTCTGCAGCCAGGGTTCATTTTCTTAGTCTGGCCACTGCAACGATTGTTATCAACAGGAACCTGTGGTGAACATCACTTTCCTTCATTCTCGGGCAACAGCTACCTCAGAAACCCAGCCAAAGGCTTGTTGGGTCTTGTCCTTAGATCTCATGTCCACACACTTCCCTGTACCAAACTCTAAGAGCCAGGTACAGGAAACCCAGGCTCTCCTGGGAAGCTGCATCAGTGGTTTTGGCGGGTCATACTGTAGGCACAGTACTCATCACCAGGGGCCCACCCTGCACTACTCACGCAGTTGGCCTCCAGCACTTCCGGCAGGGCTGTTGGAAATAGGACCTGTGGCAACAACTGGGAGTCAGTGCTGAGCTGCTTCTGGTCGCACACCCGGTCATCCTCACCCTTCCCACCTCTTGCCACTCCTTTTAGGACTTGATCTTCAGTCCTAGGCTGCTGTGAGCCTTAGCAGGACAGAGCCCAACTGTGTGCTCCCTGCAGCACAGTGCTCCTGTGCCGGCCAGGAACTCAGCTAGAGTAGGTTGTATGAGTCATGAGTTTTGGGTCAAAGTATTCCTACTAATAAGCACTGCTTACACCTGAGAGCTATTTCTGAAAGATTTTGTGATTTAGAGAGGGCCATGATGAATATGTTAAGAGTACCGATAAAATATGCTTCATAAGAAATAAATTAGAATGCCTCTTGCTAATGTTTTTGGAAGCTGCTCTCATCAACCATCAGCAACTCTAGTGAAGCATGGTCAATCTGGGGATCTGAAAATTCACACAGGCATTTGACTAATGTTTACTTTTTTGTTACTTATAAACCGCTGATAAATAATTTAAAACTTTATAAATATTATTACAATATTTCTGTTAAGATGGGATATACTATGCTTTAGTAACCAATAAATCTCAGAGTCTCAGTGGCTCACCCTAGCAAAGGTTTCTTTCATGCCCATGTCAAGATCCATCTTTTCTTTATTTTTGAGACAGGGTCTTGTTCTCTTGTCCAGGCAGGAATACAGTGGTGTGACCACAGTTCACTACAGCCTCGACCTCCTGGGTTCAAGCAATTCTCCCACCTTAGCCTCCCAAGTAGCTGGTACATGTACTACCACACCCACCTGATTTTATTTTTTGTAGAGAAAGTTCTTGCTATGTTGCCCAGGCTGGTCTTGAACTCCTGAGCTCAAGCGATCCTCCTGCCTTGGCTTCCCAAACTGCTGGGACTATAGGCGTCAGCCACCACACCTAGCCTCATGGTCCATCTTGAACTATGCCGAGGGTGTTGGAGATGAAGGGCTGGGAGTCCCTGAAGCTTTCATCATACCTGCTTCTCATTGCCAGACCCGGTCTTGTGGCCCAAAACTGTAAGAGGGGCTGGAGAGTAGAGGATATTGGGTGAGCACTAACACTATCTGCGACATTGATTACGTATCAGCATTACGATTAACTGCTACCCGCAGAGTGCTTACTGTGGACCAGGCACTTTATTCACATCTTACTAATCTTCACAAAAATCCAAAGAGGGGGTGCCATTTCACACTTGAGGAGATTGATGCTCAGAGCTGTGAAGAAATTAACTTGAGGAGGTTACACATGTAAACAGTGTCTAGTTAGCATCCTCACCAGCTGTCTGTTCCAAAGCCCAGCTGGGTTTTTCCAC